GGTTATTCATCTAAGGGCTATTGTTAATATGATTCAGAAAATATTTAAATATCTAATATATGCAAGACCCTGCACTTAGTGCTTATCAAGGTGCAGTATTTGACTCTTTGCTCCATTCTTTTCCACACCCTTGCATCCTCAGTGATTTTGTCTCCCAAAGAATCTATTCATAATACTATCAAATACAATTCTATTTCAAAACTTTACCAGATACTATTGTAATGACAAAAACACAATATATCAAAGAAACTGTGTTATTCTCTAATTATAAAGCTTTCACTTTAGAGGAGTAAATTTAAAGGATTTAGAGAAATCAAATAGGGCATTTAAAGAGTATATAAGTAACATAATTAAATACAATTATATAAAGCTTGAGTTTGAATGGTAAACATTGTCAATAAAAAGTGTTAAAATGAGGGCAAAGATTGATCATTGGTAGTAACTGGAGTATTATTTCAAGATTGAGAATCTTAATAAGCAGAAGCTAATAGTATCTTTTAATAAAAATATGCAGTATTAACACAGAAGAAAATGGCCAACCAAGTTCACTTCAGTGGTAATAAAAATTCATAATAATTGGAAATATTTTAATTTTTTAAATATTAATATTTGTAGCTCATATCCTTCATTCTATCTTCCTATAACTTAGAAAAAAAATCACAGGAATTTTCCTGAATTTGAAAATTTGGAAACTGAAGATCTGGAAACTAAGGAGAGTATTTACATATAGAAAATTATTTTTGACTAACATTGTTGCTAAACTGTATTCTATCTGACTCTGCTGTCTTTCTTAATCTTTGATTAGCTTAATGCTGTATTGATCACAGGAGATCAGATGCACATTCATCTCCCCACAACCCTTGAAACAAAACAACCAAACAATAATCAATACCACATCAAGACTGACTTCAATTTAAGTTACTTTGTTTTTAATTGTATATATGTGTCTGTGCCTGTGTATGTGTAGGGGCACATGAGTGTAGCACAGAGGCAACAGATAGCCTGGAACTAGAGTCATAGATGATTATGAGTTACTTGTTCTTAGTGCTTAGAAGGGAACTTGGGTCTTCTGCAAGAACAGTAAGTTCTTCTAACTGCTGAGCTATTGTTTCAGGCTCTGTTTAAACTGTCATTAATGCCAACTTTGTTGAAATAACCAAATTAAAGCCATGAAACTATTGTTTGATTTTGTTTTCCCATAGCTGGTTAGTTACCAAGTACTGTTGATTCTTCCTTAATTCTTTCTCATCCATTCATCTTTTCCTTTCTATCCTATTGCCGATATTATACATCATTACTTGTTTCCTGGGACATTTTCACACATACCTTATTGATGATTTCCCTACCAATCACAGTTCTGATTTGTAGATGTAACCAACCGTCTTATTAAATAAGAAACACAGAAACAATGTAAAAGAGAAAGCCGAGAGGTCAGAGCTCAGAGCTAAAATCTCATCCTTCCTCCTGCTGTCCCAGCTTCCTGAAAGAGAGCTATTTCCTGTAAGTCGATTTTCCAGTCATTCTGCCTTCTCATTGGTTGTAAACCCAAGCACGTGACTGCCTCATCACTGTCTGAATGTACAGCCCCCTAGGTCTTAAAGGCATATGTCTCCAATGCTGGCTGTATCCCTGAACATACACAGATCTATGGGATTAAAGGCGCGTGCCACCACCGCCACACTCTGTCTATGGCTCTAATAGCTCTGACCCTCAGGCAACTTTATTTATTAACAATCAAAATCACATTTCAGTACAATTAGAATACCACCACACTGATTACTTATACTTAAGGGATAGTGTATCATAGTGATATATTAGTTGCTTTCCCATTGCTGTGATAAAACACCATGACTAAAAGGAACTTAGCCGGGCGGTGGTGGCGCAGGCCTTTAATCCCAGCACTCCAGAGGCAGAGCCAGGCGGATCTCTGTGAGTTCAAGGCCAGCCTGGGCTACCAAGTGAGCTCCAGGAAAGGCACAAAGCTACGCAGAATTACCCTGTCTTGAAAAACCAAAAAAATAAAAATAAATAAAAATAAAAAATAAAAGCAACTTAAGGAAAAAAAAAAGCAACTTAAGGGAAGAAGGAGTTTGTTTGTCTTATGATTCTATAAGGATAAAAGTCCATGATGGTAGGCAGGGACAATAGCAGAAAACTGAGAGCACACACACTCACCCACAATCATGAAGCAGAGAGAGTGAACAGGAAGTGAGGAGAGTCTATAAACACATAAAGTCTTCCTTTAGTGGTGTACTTATTTCAGCAAAGCCACACTTCAGAAACCTCCCTAAAAAGCTTTGCCAATAAGGGACCAAGTGTTAAATGTCTGAGTCTATAGGGGCATTTCTCATTCAAAACATCACACATATATAGTTGCAGTGTAATGACAGCAGACGTTTCCTGGGATGTTTTTGAGAATTAAATCACTGAAGCAGAAAAATTTCTGACAGAAAATCCTCAATAAGTATTAACTGCTGTTATTGCTATAACCACTCTTACTAAAATATACTTGTTGACTATACTATTTCTGTTAAAGACAGTATTAAAAAGTGAATAAAATCAAATTCATACTCAGAATTTGTAGGTCAAGAATTGAAATATAGAGTCAAGACAGAATAAAGTATAAGTATATAGACTGAAGGCTCATGCATACCTTGTGAAGGTTTTAATCCCCTGTTGGTTCTGGACCAACAGCACTTTGATGAATTGACAACTCACCTGAAATATAGATAACATCATCCATTTGACTCGGGTGCAAGACTGAATAAAACAAGGAAAGGGAAGAAACACAGATGAACATTGGCATTCTTTTCTTTCTGCTACCTGGCTGTTAATACAATGTGACCAACCATCTAATGTTTCCACTATCATGCCATGTCACGAGGGACTGTACCCTCAACCTTTGTCCCAAAGTGTACTATTCACCCTTACATTGCTCTTGGTCCAGGATTTGATCACAGACACAAGAAAGTAGCTAATATAATAGGCTGTTTCCTAATCATATATGGTGATATACAACATCTTAAGTGCTAGAACAGGCCAGTTGTGAGTAAGCTGAAAGAAGAAATGATGTTAGGAGAGATATGGAGACAAACAAACAAATTTTGACAGAGTAATACATCCAGGACTTGATTTTGTACACTGTGTACACAAGGGGGCTTCTACATGTTTAGAGACAGACTTGGATGACATTAGCTTTCACTTTCATGTACTTCACATTGCTTCTATATGGTTTCTTCATACCTATCTAACCTATAAGCATGTTCTCATGTAACTTCTTTTTACAATTTTCTTTAGGTCTCTTCTGTGTGAAATTTATATATATGTAAATATACACTCAATTATAAGTTTATTTAATTATCTCTATTGTGAATCTTTTATTAAACATTGCAGTTGTAATTTTAAGGTTTTTTTTTTTTCTTGCAACAAATTTCTTTAGAACTTACTTTCTCTTTGTAGTCCTAGAATTGTCCATCTGTTTTATTGCCGGCAGTAGTTTTCATGTGTTTGTATTATGATTTCCCAGATATACCTAAGTTTAATATAGGCAGTGTACTTTAAATATGATAACAATTTGTGTATTTTAAACAAAATAATCCAAAGTGATGAGAGCTATGTGAATACTAGAGCAGGGCAATATTATTTCCATTTTTTAGATTTCTACTTGGAAAAAGTATGAAAACATAGAATTCAGAAGTTAAAAGTTCACATAGAGAGAAGCAAATGCCCATTGCTAATAAGCGAGTTAATGTCAAAGGAGTGCCAGAAAAGTGTGCTGTTTCACTATTAGAGCTGCTATGCTTTACCCAGTAATTCATGTGTCGCTTTGGAAGTATATGACTTACCTTGCTCATAAATGTGCCAGAATATCTGACAGAACTGATTTAAGGGAGGCAAGGTTGTGTTTGATTTCTATTTTTGTATTTCTGTCCATCTTGGAAAAGAAAGGCAGGGCGGGCAGATCAGTTCATGGTAGTGGGGTACGTGGCAAAGGCTGTGCACAACATGGTATTCCGGGAAGCAACGTGTGACAGTTGTAACCTTCCAAATCCTGCACCCATTGACTCACTTTTCCCAGCTGAGTCATACTTCTAAAGGGTCCACAACTTTCCAAAATAGTGCCAACAGCTAGAGAACAAGTATTCAAAAATTAAGCACATGGAGCATAACAGAAGACAAAACAGAAAGGTACTTTGTGATAAAAATGAGTTGCTTCCATGTGTGATGGCACATGCCTGTAACCTCAGCTCCTAGAAGGTTGAGATAGAATGATCAAAAGTTAAAGGGGAGCCTTGGCTACAAAGTGAAGACATGTTTAAAACAAAAAGACCTTTGTTCATGACATCAGAGAATTTCATGCTGCTTGTAGATATCTCAGTGCCTTGTCTGTGCTCAGCATATGTATTTAAGAGACTAAAGTATACATGCCAGTGAAGTATTTAGTGAACTGTTTAGTAATGTCTTTACATTGTATGAGCATAAAATGCTCCTTGTGTCTAGTCTGGATCCATCCTATTTTCAGATTGCATTTGGTAAATGGAAACTCATTAAATAATTGGGAGCTAAAAAGGAAATTCAAACCTCAAAATAATTATTATTGTACACCCACTATCCATGACCAGCTATACACTCAACTTAATTTTATGCATATAAGTTTTCCTATTTCATCTCAGAAACAAATTTTGGATATTTGTATGCTAGTATGACCAAAGGTTTTGCAGTTAGCATGTAGAAACTGTTCACCCTCAGCTGTATTTTATTTACGTTATAACTATGATGGTTTTTATTGTTTAACAAAACTTACTGCTTCTGATTTTTAAAACATTATCTAAATTTCCCTTGGAAAGCTGAAAACAAACAAAAACAGTATATTTTAAATCTCACAGAGAATTGTCTGTGTGTATGAACTTACAATATTGTTCATGAAATTATCCGCAGAACAGACACAGATGAAAGGACGTTTTAAATAGACATTCTCATAGTGATTCCTTACCTTCCAGATGAGCTCGGTGAAAATGTTACGGCCTCGTCTCATGAGCATCCTTTTCAAACTCACCTTTGAAGAACATGTAAACAACATCAAACCAGGCATCATAGCAGTAACTCTTGCATGTGAAGAACTGAAGAAAAGTGAAAGCTTTAACAGACTTTTAGAGTTGATTCTTTTGGTTGGAAACTACATGAACTCAGGCTCAAGGAATGCCCAATCTTTGGGCTTTAAGATCAACTTCCTTTGTAAGGTAAGACACCATTTTATGGTATTAATTTCTAACAGTAATTTTTTGGTATGTGAGCTGAAATGATCTAAATGGAAATAACCTATCAACTCTAAATCATATGCCATAGGAGTAAAGTTGAAAGCATAACTGCTGACTATATCTGGATTAAAATAAATATTTTATAATCTTATTGCAATAATATTAAAAAGACTCTGAAGTCATTTTTACTCATGTCCTTCTGATTACATCTTCTTGGAGATTATAGACCATACAAAATTTGTCTTTATAAAATATATTTAACCTCATATTTCACTCTTTTTACTTATTTCTTCTCCAGAAATATTTGAAGAGTTTAATTATAAGAGGAAAAGAGCCAGCAATTTGTCTTTGAATGTGATTTGTTCATTGAATTCTATTAAAACAAAGCTCTGTGTTTCTGGATAGTGTTGAGCCCCTAAGTTCTCACTTATAATCAAGATATCTGCCTAAAACATTAAAAAATGAAATAATAATAATATTACTGCTAAGACTGGACAATTTTTAAGTATTTGTGAGGCTTATGAAAATGAGGCAAAGTAACAAAGAATCCCCAAAGTGATTGTATATGTTTATTCAAGGCAACCTAACTTGTTTAAGGAAAAGATATGTGTAGATGTAATCAATCGTATTATTAAAATAAGAAACACAGAGCCAAGGTAAAAGAGAAAGCCGAGAGGTCAGAGCTCAGAGATAAAATCTTACCTCCTGCAGTGCTCCTAGCTTCCCCGAGAGAGGGAGGTACTTCCTGTGTCCCTGTTTAAATAATCTTTCTGTTCTGCCTTCTCATTGGTTGTAAACCCAACCACATGACTGCCTCATCACTGCCTGTAAGTACCGCCCTCCAGGTCTTAAAGGCGTATGTCTCCAATACTGGCTGTATCCCTGAACACACAGAAATCTACCTAGCTCTTCTAACCACCACGCTCTTACTATGGCTCTAATAGCTCTGACCCCAGGGCAACTTTATTTATTAACATAAAATTAAAATAACATTTCAGTACAAATAAAATATCACCACAGATATGTCTGTTTCAGACAGACAACTGAACAGATTCTGAGGTGAAGGCCTTTAAGGAAGCTTGAGATGAAAATGCATCTGGAGAGAGGTAATCTTTCTTTGTCATCTCCCATGCTTCCACTCTATATTCCCCTTCCAGATCAGAAAATAGTACAGAGGTTTGCCTCTTTCTAGACAAGAATCCCAAATGAATATGACCTTCCTTATTATTCATACATTGACCTATACAAGGTACAAATCCACAAATTTACATTTTAATATGTATGAAAAATGATTTGATTGTGGTAATTGTCACCCATATAAGTACAAGTGGTGGCATGTATAGATGATATATGTAATGAGATTCTGACTATCCCTTTACTAATGATATTTCGTTAAGAGTTATAAGAAAAGATAATAACAAAATAGACAATTTGAGAGTGCTAGATTTTTATCAAGAATAATTGTATTCTCTCTTCTTGTGGTAATGGGGAACACGTCAGTTTATTAGATAACACCAGGAAGAATAAGGCAATACTTGCAATCAATAAGAATAATTAAGTCTGTATTCATAGGCTAAAACTACTGTCGTACTGTTCATTCAGTTATATGCCATATAGCCCACCCTAATAAGATCATGCCTTACTAAGAGGCTTCTCAGTTTGAATATAATTTCTATGTCTAGTTTGTGAATCTATACTTTTGGTTTATGATTATGACGATGTATATAAAATAAAGTGCATGAATTTATATTGTATATACTTGATATCATTGCATAGGTATTTTACATTTAATTTATATATACATATCTTAAGCTAATTGTTCTATTTTGAACAAATATGTCACTTTTAAACTGCCTTAATTTTACTTTATTCAGATTTATTACATGAAGTTATTACCTTGAAACAAGAATGAATGATTCATTTATATACAAGAACAAAAGATTATATTAATCTCACAGAAAGATTTTATTTTTATGTCTTATATTTTAGAGAGAGCTTTCTTCCTGTCAAATAAAAGTTTTTCCATATAGCACTGATCTGACATCTATCACTAGAGGTATGCTCAAAGGATTTAGCACAAAGATTTTTTTCCAACTTCAAATAAAAAAAAAATCGTCTTGGGGGAAATACTATCATGTAGTAATAGGTGTTCTAAAGGAAAAAGAAGTAAAGATTTTACAATATCCCCCCACAAACACTTTTGAGCTGGATTTTTATCTTGCAGGAAATACTTCTGGGGAAATACATGTCATTAATAAAGAGAAATATCATATACATGGTTGATATTCCCACGATGTGTAGGAATAAAAAGATGTTCCTAGAATACAAAAGATTCTGAGTAGATGTAAATGTCTACAGTGACAGAAATTTTCTGATATGCATAGAAATAGTTAGCTTAGATCTGTCATCTTTTAAAAACTGGAATTAACTACTGATAAATGATTTGCTAGAATTTCTGTTAAATTTTACTTATAAAAGACTACTTGGATGATTTTTTTTCTTTAATAAATTGCAGAGGGAATTCTTCATGAAAAATACTGATTATGCTTCAAAAATGATACCATTTCTCACCTAAATTTTTCTAATGATAAATACCTTTCTTTGATTTTAAAATTATTATCTATTGCTTTTCACAAGAACCTTTAAAGCACATTAAAATACTCATCTCCTGAAAAAGGAGGATTGATGTAAATAATTAAACTTATAAGATATGCTTCAATGTATAATATAAAATATGTAGATGGTCAAAATCGGCTGCTATGATATTTGGGGGAAAAAAGGAAAACAAATGAGTTAACCAAAATTACAAATAACACTAAAGGTTATAATGATTATAAAATGATCTTTTTTTAATTTCAGTAGTGTATTATTAGTGTAATCAAACCCATCTAAATGAAGATGAACTTACAGTGCAAGCTTGTCTGTACTTCTCTGTTAGTCAGTGAAAGTCTAAGCAATTCCAATGCTGCACTTCAGGAGCATTGCTTATTTTGTTTTCAGTGTGTAATAGCATATATAACATATATGTAAATAAAACATTCAAGAAAAACCAAGCATTCGCTATGCATTCATCTGTGTGAGTGTATTAGAAATGGATCTTTAGTAGCTTACAGCCAAACGTAACTATCTGATTCAGGAGAAAAATGGCATTTGTCGGAAGTATCTGAGATAACTCAACCAGAAATGTAGAAAACCTGAAGAAATTGTCTTTAAAGGACCAACCAGATTTTAAAGATAGCTCAGTGATTAAAAACACTGGCTGTTCTCCCAGAAGCCCTTGGTTTGATTCCCTGTACCCAAATAGTGGCTTATAACTGTCTGCAACTGCTTTTCCAGGGGATCTGACACCTTCTCTTGGCCTCTGCAAGTACTGCATGTCTATTATGGACAGACATATACAGGCAAAATGCCCATACCCATAATACATATATTTCCTAAGATGCTTAAATAATTCATGTAGCAGAAGCAAACTGAAAATCCTTAAAGGACATTTCATTGGGAATGTATTGTGTTCAACCATTTTTCTGCTCTTTGTTCTGTATTTGACTACAACTTTTAGTAGAAGCTTATTGACCTAATATGTATTATAAAGCCACTCCTTGCCCAAGTAATCACAGCTAAGGCTCGTTGAACTTCACTTTATTCATCTGTAGATATGGAAATGCACTGATCCTTTCATAATGCTGTTCTTAGGTCAAATTAAATGATTGTGCTAAAGTATATTGAGAAATTATAATGTTAAACATATCATAGTTGGTCATATTAATGATTAATCATTCTGATGCTAAAGACACTCCACATATCAAAGCATTTCATTCACCGTCATAGAAGTTGTAAGAAAGGAAGTAAAATAAGTTTAGTTGCATTGTGAAATAGAAGATTACTTACCATTAAATATGATCCCTAGAGAATATACCCACTGTATATAGTTTGTAAAATTTGTAAATAATCAAGGAGAAAATCTAAGGAAAAACATAGTCCACCTCAGTAACATGTAATTCTTCTGAATTTTCACAATGTCTAATCATTTTTATTAAAAATAGTGTGCATTGTATCATAAATGTTAGTAGTTTAGCATAAAATGTGGGTTAATATTCTTTTTTGTTCTATAGTAATACACACAAACAAAATAAAATAAGATAAAAACTGGACGCTCAGAGAGGTGAATACTTGAACCAGTATATTAGACAATTTAGGTACCATGAAAAAATAGCACAGGCTCAGAGGTTTAAATAAAAGAAAATTATTTTCTCATATTTTCCAAGACCATAATTCAAAGACCAAGATGTTGTTTAGTTTCTCTTGAGGTCTCTTTCATTTAACTGCTGATGACCACTTTCTCATGATATCCTCATATGGGGACTTCACCTTATTTTGTTTTTGTGTCTCAACTCTGAATCCATGAGATTTGGAAGAGTACTTTATTCTACATTATGTCCTCAATGTCTGTCACATAAAACTCTCAATTAGGCTTGAGTGAATGCCAAGTAGTTGGGTTAAATACAGGTTTATCGTTAATTTTTGACATAAATATTTAGCTTCCTTTTAATGACCTGTGTTTATCACAATTATGAGCATATTCTTATTATGAAAATTATTCTCAGTAGTTTAGTGATGGCTTATGAGTGATCATTCAATCACAGTGTCTGCCTATGGTGAGACACTCTGCGCAGCCTTGGTGCAGGAAGGAGGGGCTGGGACCTGCCTCAACTGAATGTACCAGGCTCTGCTGACTCCCCATGGGAAACCTTGCTTTGGAGGAGGTGGGAATGGGGAGTGGGTTGGGGGGAAAGCTGGGGGACAGGAGGAGGGAGGACAGGGGAATCTGTGGTTGGTATGTAAAATGAGCAGAAAATCTCTTAATAAAAAAAAAATAAGACATAAGAGTTGCTATGACCATGGTGCCTCTTCACAGCAATAGAAACCCTATCTAAGACACTTTGTTCCCAGCTGGTGCAGCTGTTTAGGAAGGATTAGGAGGT